CCCTTAAAGAAAATTTGCTAAAACTCTGGACGACGGGTTCTCTTACCCCCTTTCTATAATTTTCTCTTCGAAATCACCTGGGCCTTTCAAGGGCCGGGGGGGGGGGGGGGGAGGGGGCAGGGGGTTGGGGGGGAGAAACATCAATGTGAGAGAGACACATTGATTGGTTGTTTCCTGCATGTGCCCCGACCAAGGTTGGGGAGTGAACCTGCAGCCCAGGTATGTGCCCTTGACCGGGGATTGAGCTCGAGACCCTTTGGTCTGAGGGCCAACGCTCTAACCACTGAGAACACAGGCCAGGGCCTGGCTTTGCTCTTGGCTTGCTGTGTGACCCTGGACAAGCTCCTGCCTGTCTCTGAACATCTCATCAGCACAAGTGAGAGAGAATGTTCCCAAGAGCCCTCCGTCTGAGTCCTATGTTCCCCTGGTCCTGCTGCGTGGCTCCCTCTCCTCCCTCCCTCCTTGCTCTCAACTCAGTCGCTGGGGGAGAGCACTTGCGTAGACCACCAGGGTCAGCAGGCTCTCTCCACCCTGAGGGCTCCCTGGAAGAGGGGGCGGGGGCAGGAAGAGGGTAACACCTTCTCGGGGAGACTTGCTCTGGTGCCATCGTGAGCCCCTGCCCCGCACCAGACACCCATTGTCTGAGGAGCTTCACACTCTGCCTCACTTCTCACAATGACCCTGTGAGGGAGGTGCCATCACTAGCCCATTTGACAGACAGGAAAACAGAGGCTGTGAGAGGCGGAGTCACTGGCCCAAGGCCCCCAGCTAGGGAGTGGCAAGCCTGGGTCGGGATCCAGGGTCCTGCTCCTGCTCCTCTGGGGAGATGCTGCTCCCTGGCGGCCTGGGCCTCCCCTCTCCAGGCCTGTGTCTCCCGGTCAGTAGGGGGCACCCGAGGGCCGCGGAGCCTGTGGGTGCTCCCTGATTCCTGGCTGTCCCCAGCACACAAGTGGCTGTACCGGGAGATTGGAGACAGCCACCTGCTCCGGTATCTCTCCTGGACCGTGTACCCCATGGCCTTGGTCTCCTTCTCCTCCGGCTTCTCACAGAGCATCACGCCCTTCTCAGGAGGTGAGTCCCCACGGGTTCATACCCTCAGGCTTCTGATGGGTGGAGGCAGGAGGCAGTACCCCTACTTCATAGCCGGAGAAATCAGGCTCAGAGGAGTCGTGTCACTTGCCCCAAGTCACACAGCACGAAGACCGGATCTTGACTCCTGGGTCGCTGATGGCTCTGGCCCCTCTCTGAGAGTTATTCCGGGTGGTGATGGGGAGAACGGTGGCAGGTCCTCCTGCAGGGCCGATGCCCAGCGTATTCCCCAGGCCTCTCAGCTCTGCCTCCAGCTCCCGGCCAGCAGTTGGGAACTCCAGGGGTGCATGCAGGGTGGCCTGGGTCCCCCCCCCCCCCCGAGTCTGCCACAGCCACGTGCCAGGCCCAGCTGGAAGGACATGGGCTATTCGCGTCTCCTTTCTGACCCTCGCCTTCCTCCTCTGAAAAATGGGTTGAGGAAACCTGCTCCTGGGGTTTTAAGGACCTGACAGAGGGAGGTGTGAAACACTGTGCAGGGTCAGGTGCGAATAGTTTAACCCCAAGGTTGTCCCTCCTGCTGCCAAGGTTCTGGAATCCCGGAGCTGAAGACCATCCTGTCCGGGGTGGTCTTGGAGGACTACCTGGACATCAAGAACTTCGGGGCCAAGGTGGTGGGCCTCACCTGCACCCTGGCCTCCGGCAGCACCATCTTCCTGGGCAAAGTGGTACGAGCAAGCGAGAGAGCACCCCCCACACACACCCTCCCTGCTCCCCCCATGCCTGCCTTTTCCCTACCACCCACCCCCCGCGGGGGCAGGCAGGGACTCGGGCCAATGCCCGCCTTCCGGGGCTCAGCCTTGGGGAGGCCGGGTCCCCAGAGTGTGACAAGGGGCTGGGAGATGGAAGAGGTGGGTGTGGGGGGGCACCCGTGCTGTGTCTGGAGGAGGTTCCCCCTGTCCCCCAACCCTGGGCCCTGAGAGGGAGCAGCAAGGGCCCGGCTCCCCTCCAGGCCCCTTCTCCCCTCAGGGCCCCTTCGTGCACCTGAGTGTGATGATCGCTGCCTACCTGGGCCGCGTGCGCACCAAGACCATCGGGGAGTCCGAGGTAAGGGGTTCGGGGAGGGCCCCCCTTGGAGGGAACGAGAGGGAGGGGGCTGATCTGAGTCCAGGACTTGGATTCCGCAGAACAAGAGCAAACAAAACGAAATGCTGGTGGCGGCAGCGGGCGGGTGGGCGTTGCCACAGTCTTTGCAGCGCCCTTTTAACGGTGAGGCCCCGCCTTCCCCCCCTCCCCCTGGCCCCCTGGGGCTCCCCCACCAGCCCCCCCCCCCCCTGTCCCCTGGAGGGGCCGGAGGAGGGATGAGGACTTATTTTTGTCTTTGTTTCTACAGCAGTCCTGCCCCCTCAGGGGGGGGGGTGAATGAGTGGGGGGTCAGGCGCCTCGGGGTTTCCTTAGACAGGCTTGGGTGTGAGGGCAGCTCTTTTGGGTGGGCCTGGCCCAGCAGTTCACCTCCCGGAGCCTCACTCCCTCATCTGTGCAATGGGATCAGCAGTCCCATCCACAGGGAGGAGGTGGCATGTTCCCTGGAGGCGGAGTGCCTGCCCGGCCCTCCCCTCATTGGGCTCAGAGCCAGAGAGAAGGGAGGCCCTGTCTGCAGGCCAGGAGGGCAGGACCCAGGAGCCAGGGCGCCGGGGCTCCGCCTGAGCTCAGCGCCGCCCCCAGGCGTCCTGTTCAGCATCGAGGTCATGTCCTCCCACTTCTCCGTCTGGGATTACTGGAGGGGCTTCTTCGCCGCCACTTGCGGGGCCTTCATGTTCCGCCTCCTGGCCGTCTTCAACAGCGAGCAGGGTGAGTCCAGGGCTCCCCCACCTCCCCCCCCCAACCTCCCCATTCTCCCCCCTCCCCTCTCCCTCCTCTTCCATCCCCAGCTCCTTCTAGGCGGGAGGAGGGAGCTGACCTGTATTGGGCGGGAAGGATGGGGCCCTGAGGGTGGAAGGGACAGAGCTGGGCGGGGAGCAGGGGCCGGGGCTGGGGTGTGAGTGTGACGCCCCCGCCCCTCCCCGCAGAGACCATCACCTCGCTCTTCAAGACCAGCTTCCGGGTGGACGTCCCCTTCGACCTGCCGGAGATCTTTTTTTTTGTGGCGCTGGGGTGAGCGGTGCCTCGGGTCCCTGCAGCCCCACACGGGCTGCCTGTGGCCCTGGGAGCTGCTCTGGACTCACCCCACCTCCCCGCAGGGCCATCTGTGGCGTCCTGAGCTGCGCGTACCTCTTCTGCCAGCGAAATTTCCTCATCTTCGTCAAGACGAATCCGCTCACCTCCAAACTACTGGCCACCAGGTGGGCTCTGGGCCGCGGCTGGGCCTCTCAGGGAGACCC